TTTCGGATTTCTCAAAAACGATAATGCCGCAAGAGTTATTATCGGTGGCGCATATGAGCGCATAACGAGCGCATTCATTTCAAAATAATACGACTATGAAATTTCTCAGTGGGGGGGCCAAGTTAACGGACCCCAAAGAATACTCGATACTTCGAATACTCGTAACTTATGAGTACAAAATTCAGAGCTAAAACGAAAGAAGAACAAAAGGGAAAACGAAAGATAGAATGAAACACAGAACGAATAACACAAAGAAAGTAAACCAAATAAAAGAAAGGTGAGACAAATAAAAAGACCCCACAGAAAAACATGAAGCCACAAAAAAACAAAGAATTGTTGAAGATGACGATAGAAAATATGTGAGAACCAAGAAGACACAGAAAAATTCCCGTCATTGAATTATAGAATTGAGAACAAGTAACCGAAAAAGTAAATATAGGCTATAGAACCCAAGAATACAAAAAAGAGTATTAGAATCTCAAACTGCCGTAAACAAAGAAGAAAGTGCAAAAAGACACCAAAATAACACCGAAAAGACTAAAAAGGCGAAGAAGAAAGAATAGAAAAAAACTAAAGAGAAGACGCGCAAGGGAACCAGTAGATTTAAAAAAATAGAGGGAACAAAGTAGATATGAAAAGGCCAAAACGGAAACAGAAACACCATAAACCCGAAAGTTAGGACAAAAGAGAAAAAATAAAGACGATGAAAGAGATGAGAACGTCGAGGGAAAATAGAAAGACAATAAAGAAAACAAACGTAAGGACGTAGAATAAGAAGACGGAGAAAGAATAAAAAGACAATGCGAAGAATAAAAATAATATAAAGAAGACCAATATACAAGTCCTAAAAAGGACAGAAAAAGAAAAAAGAAGACCAATAAAAGAGCAAGCATAGGGTAAGGAAGAACACGAATATAAGACTATAAAAGCAGGCGAAAAAATTAGCACTCTATCAAAAAAAGAACAGACAACCTAGAAAAGTCCAAATTACACGAAGAACATGATTAAGACAGACCTAGAAGGGGTAAGAAATAAAGAAACAGACGCAAGAGATGATCAAAAGATGACGAAGGATGAAAAGGGACAAGAACATGGCAAAGATCTATACTAGAACAAGGGAAAAAAATCGAAAGAGAACAAAAATAAAAATGTAGTGAAAGACTAGAAAAAAACGATACTGAAGGAGACAAATGTGAAAATAAAGAAGATGACGCAGTAGAAAACGAATGGGAAGTTTAAAAATATCCATATGAAATAGAAAGTCGCAGAAAGAGATAAATGAACGACTTAATAAAGAGATTGCGAAGATGTCAATGTCGTAACAGAAGTTGAAGAAGGAGATAAATGATAACAATCCAGATGAAGGTAAAGGGGAAGACCAAGACGAAATCGAATGGAAGATGGAAGAAATGGAGGATGATGACCAAAGGGAAAAATGAACCAGAAGATCGATAAAATGAAGGTAAACTTAGGGATAAAACAAAATTAACTAAGAAAAACGTGAAAGAAGAGAAAAAACCTAAGAGGAAGGTAAAGAAAGAACAGAATATTACCAAATGAAAAGAGCCATAAGACGACACAGAAAAAAAAATAAATAGTCGCGATTAAAGATAAAGGTAGGCAAAATGCAGGCAAAAACAGCAAAAATGAAAACTTATAAGAATATAAGGAGGAAGACAGCATTTATTCCCACTCCTTAGCTCCTCCTTTCCTGATGCTTCTCTCTTGCTAACGTCTTCTTCCTTGACACTCCCCTTTCCTCCCGTAGTGGGTGACGTCTTCACAGTTCGAAGACGGTTCGCTCCCGCGTCTTTCTTTTACACATTTTTTACACGTTTTATTTACTTTTTTCTTTTTCTTTGCTTTTCTCTGTCTCACTTCTCTATTCTTCACGGGTTCTTCACACCTTATTTTCTTCTTCGCTTCTTAACGTTCCTTTCGTTAGTTTCTTCATACTCTAGAGAAACCATTTCACATCTCTTTCTCCCCAGCCATGACGAATAAGGGCTGAAACTGTGCAGGTTTTTGGTATTATGCGCTCCTGGTCCACATTTTTTTTAACGGTTGAGGTACGTAGAATGCGAGATGTGATATTTATTGTAAAAAATCCTCTCAGGGCCTATGATCTGACACAAATTTTCTTCTGCAAAATTTTTGTATCAGGATCACAGAATTGCAGTTGTGTCAAACACTTTTCCTCATAGAAGGTTCCTGCGTTAGGGTGGCAGACGCACAGAAAAGTGAAAGGTGGTCGACTCGACCCCGCCTCTTGCCAATGTTCAATTTTTACGTCATTAGCATTTTTCTTCCAAGAATCTGGATCAGTAAAGGTCATAGAAATTTTTCTCAATTTCTCAAGAATGATGTTCCCCTTATACACGTTTCTCTTTTTAGAAATGGATGCACAGAAATCCAAAAACATTCTTTGGAAACCTTGTTCGCGTATTACATCCTTCTGATACAAACGTCTGTACCAGGAGAGCAAACACGGCTCCTGATACAAATTTCTCTTGGAAATCGTTGTATTTGCATCACAGAAACAGAAGCAGATATAAGATAGTTTCTTACGCAAGATATTTTAATAAAATGCTATTAGGGTCACAGAACAGCGACAAGGTCAAGACACTTACTATGTTCTCCCGATACACATTCTCTTATGTAAAATAGTTATTATAGCATTATACGAACTGTGTAAATGTGTAATATTTTTTTCACACATTTTATGTTCTCTCCCTTTCCCCCTTATAAATTTTTGTATTAGAATCTCAGGAACGTCAGAAGGTAAACAATTTCGTGGAATGATTTCTTCTCACACAGTATGATTCGTATGCTGCAAAATTTTGCTTTCAATTGCTATTAGGACTTATGGGATTAGGATTTATGTGATCTTGTTAAATTTTCAAAAGAAATACAGGAAATTCATGCGTGAAGATGTGTTCGTAGAAATTTTGAACGTCCTTAAATTTCTGCAATCCTGTTAAAACAATTTTTAAAGAAAACTAAGTGAACAGTGTTTGTTACAGCAAATTTTGAAACGAAATACAGAAGTCATATGTGAGAAGCTATTCCTAAAGAATTGTGAAAGTCCTTCAGATTCTGCGATCCTACTGGAGCAAGACACTAGAAAAACGTGCGAGAAATTGCGTCGACAGAGTGTAAACGATCTTCACTGGCATTGATACTACAAAAAATACACGAACATTATGACTGGGAAGTTGTTTGTAAAACAAATTTAGCGTGCCCTTCGGTTTCTGTGATCCTAATACAACTTTTGAAGTTACAGTAAACGTAGGTACTGTATTCTCCTGATATGAATTTCCATTCTTAATGATTTTTGTAGTACCATAACAGTAAGGCAAACAGTAGTCACATCCCTTCCGGAAGCCTTTCATGGAATACAGGTTTCGCTTTTAAAGTCCTTCTATTAGGATCATAGATACACGACAAGTTCTAATGAAGTCACCGTTCTACATCCTGTGACATTATGCTATCCATGAAGCTATTTATTGTATGTGAACAGAGGTACATTATACCCTCCTTATATCAGGCCGTCAGCTTGTGCACGCAAAAGTCACGTGATCCTGATACCATAATTTTTAAAGGCAACCAGGAAAACATACGTTTAGGAGGTACTTGTTAAGAAATAATAAACGTCTTTCTTTTTCTGTAATCCCGATACAGGAGTTTTAACTTCTTCTGTTTCCGCGGTCCTAATGCACCAATGCAACCTAAAAGAAAACTTTCACCAAACCAGTGTTTTAGTTCCTGGGAACCTGATAGACCCATTTTCAATAGAAATACAGGAAAAACTTACGTGAATAGGTGCTGGAGAATCAAAATTGAGCGTTCTTCCGTGCCTGTGATCCTAATGCAACGTTGCTCATTAAAAATACCGGAAAAAGGTGCAAAAAATTTTGCACGTGCTTCCCTTTATGTTAACCTGATACATCCACTTATAAAAGAAATACTTACGCGAGGAGGTGCTGGTGGTGTTTTTGGAAACCTAATCCAACAACGTTAATTATTGGAAACTCAAAGAAATTGTGACCGTGCTTCAGTTTCTGTGAACTTAATACATTCTCTTAGAAAATGTTATTTTGCTATATTATTAAGACAACTGAAACTACAAAAGGCAAGGATTATTGAAATGCAAAAGTTTGAGAGGTTTATCGAAGGAAAAAGTTCTCCTGATACAAAAGCTCCCTTTAACGTTATTAGCACAAGAGCGGAGGAAGGTTTAAAATTCCAGCAGATACTGCTCATGACGTAGAAGGTTCTCCAATTTCTCCCATAAGAATAAATTCTGTTAGGATCACAGTACCGCAAGAAAGTGAACCATATATGCGGGTGCACGTTCGTTTTTTCGAAGGTTGTATTAGATCCACAGAAATTCGAGTAAGTCTACTCTCTGCTCCTGATACGCATCTCTAACCGTTGTATTAGAGTCACAGCAACGAAAGACGGTCAGAATTGAAACTTCTCTCACTCGTTTCTCCATTAAATGTGAATGTATCAGGATCGCAGAACCGCGAAGAAAAATCTATACGAAACAAAGCACCATTTTTTTTAACTTGTATTAGGATCACCACCGAAATTCGACGTGAAAAAATTTGCTCCTGATATGAATTTCGATTTTTAATCATTGTTGTATTAGGATAACAGCAAAATCCTTCCCGAAAGCCTCGCGCTCCTGATATTCTGTTGCAACAATTTTCAAAATAGACCATGAAAAACATGTGAAAGGGCGCCTTCTAACAAATTTCGAACGTTCTTCTTGTTCCATGATCCTGATACCACAATTGTTACTAGAAACTAGGAAAAACATGTGCTCAGCATGTGCTAGTCAAGAAATCTTAGCGTGCTTCGGTGAAGAGCGAGCCCGATGCAATAATTCTCCGGAAAAACTAAACAAATTGCGCATATAATTTTCTGTGATCCTGATACAAGAGAGAAAATTGCTTGTGAAGCACCGTGCTAGATATTGAAATAAAACACCGTTACGTCATTAAGAGCTTTATTTAATGTAAATAGCAGGATCCGTGAAGGTACTTCGAGTGGGCGATTCAAGACGAAGTCTAAACACAAATACGTTAAAAGCACGAGACCATTCAATACATTAACCTCACCTTATAAATCCGACGTCCTTCCGTTTTAACCCTCCTCGGCTCGTTTTATCACTTTTAGAGGATTTTTCCCTGTCGGTCTAGGAATTGAATTACAGATGTCTCCAAGCGGCTTCTACCTCCTCCCCGGTACGCCAAACTCGCGGATTTCGTCACCGATTGCAGCGAAATATGTTTTTGATGCGTCGCATTGTGGTTCTGATTTTGTGAATGACTTCCTCCTGAAAATAAGGGCGTGAGTGGATGGGGTGTCGCGGGTGACGCACCTGCATCAGATTAAAGCACATCGCGATTAGTGCCATGCCCAGCATGAGGTACATCGAGCAGAGAATCGAGCTAAGCTCGAACTTGGTGTCGGAGTAGATCGCCTTGCCGGGCACGAGGTCGCCGAATCCGATTGTGCTCAGCGAAATGAAGCAGAAATAGGAACCGTCGAGCGTCGTCCATTTGTCCTCGTACTTCGCGAAGAGGACCGTTCCGCCGAGTATGTAACTGCGTAACGTCTCAAAGTCATAGCCGACCCGTACAGGTTTGCTACTCACCCAACCATAATCACAAGGCAAATTGTTACGGGAACCGTCACCGTTTGCGAGTCGGAATTGTCGGTGCCGTTCTCGGATTGTTCCTCGCTCGATCCTGACGTCTCCTGGAACTGTCCCCGTCTAATGCTAACCTGCGGAACACGTTCACTTTCAGTAACTAGAACACCTACGTCGTTCGGTATTGGCGTTTCGTATGTCAACAAAAGCTTTTATCGGTTTAATGCGATTAAAATTCTAAGTAAATTGAGTTTCGGAGCTTAGTAATGAGCTTTAAAGTTTGTAATGTTCGTAAAATGGCAAAGTAAATCAATATCCAGCGATACAACGAAGTTGCTAATGAGATTATTGAATGTCTCGTATTTATTCAAAGATGAAGGTAAATACCTTGGCTTCTGTTCGTGATAAAGACAGACAGATTATTTTAAATGTACGACTAATGTACCGAAAGAGGCCCTCTCAAGCAGCATCAGCATAGGCTCGAACGCGGATTCCACCCCTGCGCCATGCGCACGATTATTATGTTCTCCTGATACAAACTTCTCCTTTGCCCTTTGTAACAGATTAGAGTTAATATTTCGATCAGGAGTACAGAAACGCACGGAAGAACAATATTTCTCGACAGACACTGTGTCAGGTTTCACTGTATTCGGATTACAGAAACACTAGGAGGTCTCAGCTTTTAATATTAACGTTACAGGCCTAGAATTCCACATTTTCACAAGGCCTCTAATTTCCAAAGTTTGATACCTTCTCACTTATTTCGTTCACCCGGTACAAAGTTTTCGTTTAAAATTCGTTGTATCAGGACCGCAGGCGCAGAATCGAAAATAAATTGTATTGCCGGACATCATTCCATGTATTGTGCTACCTTAACAGGTGTAAACCTAAATCGCAGAACGTTCAAAATTGGTTTTCAACACCTTATCACGTATGGTGGCCTCCTGATACATACCCCTCTGTTGGAAACCGTTACAGTACCACCAAATGATAATTTCTAACACGTTTTCTCACGCAAGATCTTCTTGTACATCGTTTGAAAATTATTGCATCAGGATCACAGAAACTGGAACACCTTCAAAATTTGTTGACACGCATCGCAGGATCACAGCAAGCGACGTACGCTCAAATTTGCTTCACGAGCTTCCTCACTGAGCATGTTTTTCACGGGCTTCTTTTGAAAATTGTGGTATTCATTCAGAAACACTTTCGAGAATTCCTGACACACTCTTTTTCCCATATTTTTGTGCACATCTCTTAAAAATTATGCTATCAGGAACACAAAAAATGAACATTTTCAAGACCTACGCTTCCGTTCTACGTCTTCTACGTTCCAAACTTTCTGCAAACACCTCCTCACGTATGATTTTCCAGCAATTATTGTATCAGGATCCCAGACATCGAAAGCTTGTCAAAATTTAACGCAGTTATCGCACGTTTTTCTTGGTATAGGTATTCGTAAGTTGTATTAGGATCACAGAAATCGAAGTAGGTTCAAAATTTGTGTTACAATCACCCACTTACATCTAATCTCCTGCGTTTACCTTAGAAAATGACGTGCTAAGGTTACAGAAACTGAAGGCCCTTAAAAATTTGCACGACGTATAATGTTTCTGTATTTCTTTCAAAATTAATGTGTCAGGATCACAGAAACCGAAAGCTGCTTAAAACTTGTTGACAAGGACTTCCTCACGCATTTATCTTGGTCTTTCAAAATTGTTGTAACAGGATCAGGATCGCAGAAACTGTGGTTCAAAACTTGTTTTTTTGATCACCTTCTCACGTATTGTATCAGACACAAGTTTTCAAAAAAATTGTACTCTCAGGTATGCGCTGAAATGCGCCGTAAAAAGATATCTTTGCGCCATTATTGTTTTTTGGTTATCCTTAAATATATTTGGGGGGGGGGGCAAGTGAACGGAATCCCCCATAACGCATTTTGCTACCGGTATTTGTGCCACTTGATACATCTGGTTATGAGCTCAATTGCGCCACTTGAATTAAAGCTAGCGCCATTACGGTTAAGCCATAAAAAAATTTTAAAAAGGGGGGGGGCTAACTTAACGTTTTCAAAAGTTACGTTTTTTAACATGTTTTTTCTACTACATCGTACCTTTCATCATGCGCTAAAATGCGCCGTAAACATTATAGTGTTTCAGAAACACTATACAGGGTGTTTTTTTGGGAGCTTTAGTTAAACGATTCTGAGAAAGTAAAATAGTAGGTAGGTTTTTAAAAATTTGTATTTAGGAGTTACTCCGAAGGCCGAATCGATGTAAAATATTTTCAAAATGGACGCACTTCCGGAAATAACTTTTGAAAACGCTAAGTTAGACCCTCCACTTTTTAAAATTTTTTTATGACAATGGCGCTAGCTTTAATTCAAGTGGCGCAATTGAGCTCATAACCAGATGTATCAAGTGGCACAAATACCGGTAGCAAAATGCGTTATGGGGGATTCCGTTCACTTGGCCCCCCCCCCAAATATATTTAAGGATAACCAAAAAACAATAATGGCGCAAAGATATCTTTTTACGGCGCATTTCAGCGCATACCTGAGAGTACAATTTCGTATGAAAAGATGTTAAAAAAAAGTAACTTTTAAAAACGTTAAGTTGGCCCCCCACTTTTTGAAAATTTGTCACGGCTTAACCGTAATGGCGCTAGCTTTAATTCAAGTGGCGCAATTGAGCGCATAACCAAATGTGTCAGGTGACCTAGTTACAAGGGACAAAATACGTACTGGGGGGGCTACGTTCACTTGGCCCCCCCCCCAAATGTTTTTTCGGATTTCTAAAAAACGATAATGGCGCAAGAGTTATTATCGGTGGCGCATGAGCGCATTCATTTCAAAATAATACGACTATGAAATCTCTCAGTGGGGGGGCCAAGTTAACGGACCCGATTTTCTCGCACGTTTTGCATAGTTTCTGTTATATTAGGATCTCAGAAAACGAAAGATGTTTTAACCTTGTTTTACAAATACATTGTCACGTGAATCTTGTGAAAATTGTAGTAGTAGGGTCAGAGAAACTCAAAGCCGTCCTAGATATTTCTTGACGCGCTCTTTCTAGCACGTTTTTTCCTTTTCTCTTGGATGTTATTGTGTTGGGATCCCAGAAACTCGAGGGCGGTGTAAAATCTAACTTCTTGAAAATTGTTATGTCAACATTACTGGAGGACTTTCAGAAATTTGTTGACACCCACTTTCTCGCACGTTTCCTTTGTTTTCTTCAAAATTGTTCTATTAGGATCGCAGAAACTGAAGATCGCAGACAATTTGATTTAAAAAGTCATTCTCGCGTATGATTTACCTGTGTTTCCTGTTGTGTCAGAATCACAGAAACTGAAAGCGCTTCAGGATCGCAGAATGTTCAACATTTTAGCACATGTGTTACCAAATCTACAGAATTCAAAATGTATCTTAAACACCCCTTTCTGATGTTCAATGCAAATTTTTGTACCAGGACCACAGAAACTAAAGGACGATCAAGTTGTTTTAGAAGGGTTTTTTCGATTTTGTTTATGGTGCATTTCTTAAAAGTTTTATCCGGTTTACAGAAACGGTAAGATGTTTAAAATTGTTCTGTTTTTTTCTTTTGAATATTATTGTATTAGTATCACAGAAACCGGAAGACGTTTAAAATGTATTGATAACTGCTTTCTCACGTATGTCTTTCTTTTGAAAACTGTAATATAAGGATCACAGACATTTCAGGACGTTCGAGAACTGTTAACAATGATTTCGCACTTGTGTTCCCTGGTTCCCTGGTCCCCTGATATTTGGTTCACAGAGCTCGAGAACGCTCAAGATTCTTTTAAGAACACATTTTTTGCATTAGTCTCTGGTATTTTTGTATCAGGAGCATAGAACACAAGAATTATGGTTTCCCAGCATCTAAAAATTCTACCAGGATCTCAGAAAGTTGCAACATCCCGTTCTCGTATTATGTACTAGTGAAACAAATGTCTCACTTGATTATCTTTGCATCAGGATTGCATAAAACACCAGAAAGTTTAAAATTGAGCCTTAAATGCAAAGTATTAATCCCAGTCCTTGTGGCACTCCTCCATTTTGTAGCGACGTTATCAGGGCGAAAGAAAATAAAGGGCGATCGCAAGTTGTTTTACAAGTACTTCCTCAACGTCTGCTTTTCTGTATTTCTTCTGAAAATTGTTCTATCAGGATCACAGAAAATGAGCAACGTTTAAGCTCCTCTTCACTTGTTCTGGGGTCTATCAATACATTTTGAACCTCTACTCTCACTGATTCGAGATGTCAAATTTAATGCGCGGGAAGTAAAAAAGGAAGTCTTCGCGCCTTTGTAGTCATGATAGGGCAACCCTTAAAAATACTATGTGATTCTGGTGCCAAGCGTTTTCAGGGCAAAATTGAGATCACTATACTATTATGCGTGAGATCGTGCTTTAAACCTAGAGCATAATACAATAAGAGGTGCAGTCCTGGTACAATAATCTCGAAAAGAGAAATTTGAATCAGGAGAACATCTTTCATGAGAAGCGACAATCAAACTTCCAATTCTGAGTTGCTGATTCAACAATTTACACAAAATTTTATATCAGGAGGATAGAAAACAGGAGACTAGGAAAATTTTTTTTTTGCGTCGTACAAATGCTGTCAGAATCCCAGTATCCGTTTCTGTTGCCCCAATAGGTACACAAATTTTTCTTTTGTTTTGAATAAGCCGCAGTGTAACTTGATGAGGTGCCTGTGAATCACTTTTGCACCTTCTTTCTTCTCTGCAGTCCTGATACACTAATCTCGAAAAGAGAAATTTGAATCAGGAGAACATCTTTCATAAGAAGCGACAATCAACTTTCCAATTCTCAGCCGCGGATTCAACAATTTAAACAAAAGTTTATATCAGGAGAACAGAAAACAGGAGACTAGAAAAGGTTATTTTTGCGTCGTACAAGTTTTCTCAGAATCTCAGTGTCCGATTATGTGGCCCTAATGCAAATTTTTTTTTTCTTTTGGAAGAAACTGCAGTGCTATTTGATGGTTATGGCCCAGAACGTGTCCTTGTGGTATTTTGTAGTGGTCCACATTTAGGAATTACGAACAGACAATAGGGAGATACTACAGGACAGAATTAAATAAATTTTCCTTCAGACAAGTTCATTAAAAGCGGCAAGTTTGTAGATTTATGAATGGTGCGTAAGGGATAAGTTACAATCCCCTGGACGGCTTTAGCATAGACTTGTCGAATAAATATTAAGTACGGAAGTGAGGGGATAATAAATCGTACCAAACATCAAAGCTGACAGATTGGTTTATAACATAAATGCACAGGAGTCGGAAGGGGGATGAATGTTAAATGAACGTTTTTCATGCCGCGCTCGCACTTAAAATATTTCATAGAGAAACCTTTTATATTTGATAACCAAAGCAAATAAGGGCCATAATGGTATTTTCTCCGTATAATATTTCACACTCTTGATATAAAAATATAAATCTATTTGTACGGAAAGGGGATGATATATCATACACAGTCACAACGTATGATATTAGCTGACAGATTTTTTATTGAACATTAGAAGGGTTGCGGAAACCGGGGGAAGGGCTAATACAACGGTTGCAAAGTTTATTCATTTCTCAGGTGATTGATTAACTTAAGAGGATAACCGTGCTCGGAAAAAATGGGGAAAACCGCCACTTGTGTTGTAGGTATCGATCAGCTCTTGAAACTTTATAATAGGCCCATCGTGCCGACGCCTTACCAAGCGTTTCCCTTTGACACTCAAAGCCTACTTATACTCAATAACAACCTGATGATTATAATCTCGAACCCCCCGAAAATTAATAGCCCACTCCTGAGCTTGTCGATTGATTTTCAATTATACGAATTCGTCGCGACGGGGAGAAGATGATAATTTACCTCGGGACTTTCGGATCCGTTCCTGTTGCCGTAGTAGTCGACGCTCAGCTCCTCGGCCCTGCGGCGGCGACGTTCGGCGCGCTTCTTCGCCACCCCGGGGCAGCACCTGCAGAGGCATATCTTCGCGTAGAGCCACTTGAACGATCTCGCCATTATGTCGCCGATGTTCGAGAGGTAGAGCAGGAATAGGGGCATGCCTATTATTGCGTAGATTATCGTTATAACTTTTCCTAGTTTGGTCTGCGGCACCACGTTTCCGTAACCTGGAATAAAGACTAAGATGTAGTTAACAGTGTATGTGACTTTCTTTTGAGCCAGCTTTTATAAACTTTGCATGCCAGTTTATGCTACCAGAATGTGGAGGGGCCACTCACTTCTTTTTCGTCGATTCAACCTGAACTTTTCGATCTATCAAAAACTCGCTGACCAAGTGGTAGGACTCGGGAGTGATTGGCCACGAAAACGCGTACTCATATCTGCTGAAATGGCCTGCTATCACAAAACCAAAGTTTAAGACCAAATTCCGGTCTTAATTCACAGTTGATTTTTAAGGGTAAACTAGTAACTAAGCAAAGCTGCAATAAGTTTCGTCTGTGGCCCAGAGTGTTTTTGATTGGTTAATGTTAATGTTAAAAATTATTGGTAGGACGGTCTAGTTCGAGTAGAACCCAACGTTTTTGACATATTCAGTGTATTTTGAGCGCGTCTGGGCAGTGTACGCCTGTTTAAAAGAACAGTCAGGTGGTAATTGAGTTGAAGAATCCACCACCCAAGAGCCATATTCACAATTACTATTACAAGGACTCCAGTTCATTTCCTATCTGTAGTTCACGAATTAGCTGTTATAAACGTATTGTACAATTTATTTGGCAAACAGGAGAAATGTCTGTTTGAAAAGTAGGTATCCCTTCTCTGACTACCAGGAGAACATAATCCATGAACAGGTATAGAAATGCATATATATTTTGAGCGAGGATATGTTCCTGGTAGAAAAAATTACCTTTCGGTTTAAACTATTGTATCAGGAGAGCATAATGAGAGAGATATTGTTTCTGCTACTATTTCACGGAGTATTTGGTAGAAGCCTTTCCCTGGCTACTAGGAGAACACAAATTGTTCACAATAAAAATATTCCAACCCTTTATTTTCATCTAAACGTTTGTATCTGGAGCATATAATGTGCAGAAACAATTTCTGTTTTCTTATGTATGGACTATCTGTACGTAGGCCTTTCTTTCTGCCCAAGAAAAATGTTCTAGCACCTTGGTTTCGACTAAACTTTGTATTAAGAGACCATAACGCACAAGAGGGAATATCCGCTCTTAACTTAACAAGGAGATACAAGATTTAATTTTCATAAGGATACAAAAAGGTAGACACAAGGGGGGGGGGGGCAAATAAATATATGACGATTCGCAAATACACAAATATAGAAAACTATGCATGAGGACAGACCGAGATTTCATAAAATACAAGAAAAATCATTTCATAACCATACCAAAATTTCTTCAAAATCTCTTCAAAATTTTTTCAAAATTTTTTTTAAATCTCTCAAAATATCTGCAGATTATTTTCAGAACTTCTTCAAAATGTGTTCAGAATCTCTTAAAATTCTCTTCAGAATCTCTTCAGAATCTCATCTGAATCTCTTCAGAATCTTCAGAATCTTTTCCGAATCTCTTCAGAATCCTTTCAGAATCTCTTCAGAATCTCTTCCGAATCTCTTCAGAATCTTTTCAGAATTTCTTCATAATCTCTTCAGAATCTCTTCGGAATCTCCTCAGAATCTCTTAAGAAATTCTTCAGATTCTCTTCAAGATCTCTTCAGAATCTCTTCAGAATCTTTTCAGAATTTCTTCAGAAACTCTTCAAAATCTCTTCAGAATGTATTCGGAATCTCTTCGGAATCTCTTCAGAACCGAAAAGTAAATAATACACGTAATGCAAGAAGATTCACAAATGGTACAGGCAAGAAAACTGAGACAATAAAACTGCAAAAAGATCTCTTCAAAATCTCTTCCAAATATGTTAAAAATATGTTCAAAATCTTTTCAAAATCTCTTCAAAATGTCCAGAATCTCTTCAAAATCTTCAAAATCTTTTCAAAATATCTCCAGAATCCGTTCAGAAACTTTACAGAAACTCTACAGGATCTCTTCAAAATTTTCTTCAAAATCTCTTCAAATTTTCTTCAATATCTCGTCATAATCTTTTCAGAATGTCTTCAAATCTCTTAAGAATTTTTCAAAATATCTTCAAAATATGTTCAAAATTATTCAAAATTCCTCTTCAAATTCTTTTCAAAATCTCTTGAAAATCTCTTCCAAATATTTTCAAAAAATCTTCAAAATATCTTCAAAATCTTTTCAAAATCTCTTCAAAATGTCCACAAACTTCAGAATTTTTTCACAATCTCTTCAAAATCTTCCAAATCCCTTCAAAATTTCTTCAGAATCTTTTCAGAATTTCTTCAGAATCCCTTCAGAAGCTCTACAGGAACTCTTCAGAATCTCTTCAAAATCTCTTCAAAGTATCTTCAAAATATCTTCAGATTATTTTCAGAACTTCTTCAAAATGTCTTCAGAATTTCTTCAAAATCTTTTCCGAATCTCTTCGGAATCTCTACAAAATCTCTTCAAAAGTATCTTCAAAATCTCTCCCAAATCTCTTCAAAAGATCTTCAGAATATCTTCAGAATCTCTTCGGAATCTCTTTGGAACCCCTTCGAAATCTCTCCGGAATCTCTTCAGAATCTTTTCCGAATCTCTTGAGAATCTCTTCAGAATCTCTTCAGAATCTTTTCAGAATCTCTTCAGAATCTTTTCAGAATCTCTTCAGAATCTTTTCAGAATCTCTTCAGAATCTCTTCAAAATGTCTTTGAATCTCTTCAAAATCTTCAGAATCTTTTCAAAATCTTTTCAGAATCTTTTCCGAATCTCTTCAGAATCTCTTCAGAATGTCTTCAGAATCTTCAGAATCTTTTCAAAATCTTTTCCGAATCTCTTCAGAATCTCTTCTGAATCTTTTAAATTTACATCACTTTTCTTGTCTTATGTCTACCTGAAAAGGGATTTGAGTCGGCTCTTTTTTAGAGACTTACTTCATCGAATACGTGACCTACGTCGTTATCCACCCAAAAATTACTACCTACATTTTGATAAATACGCAAAATTTAGACGACCTTGCATTTTTACATGGAACCACCATTTTGAGTTTCGAATTGGAGGGCATCATGTGCCGTTTGTACCGACAACTCGTGTCAACTCAAAATTTTGTTTCTGCTCCTTATCGAATTATTGCTTCCATGGAATGTTAGTTACGGGGTTTCAGTATTCGAGTTACCCGACCTGGTAAATGTTCGGTTCATTTTCGCACTTTATATGCCACGCCATCATTAGCCCGTTCTTGTTTTTTGTTGTATTTTTATCTGATTGCAGATTATTGGCAAAAAGCGCCCTTCTGAGCTCGGAGAGGTTGCCACCTGTTAGTTCAAAGGTAATATTTTAAGACCGAACTGGGCCACTAAAATTCCCACTAAAGAATATATTGACAGACGGAGATACACAGGGATAAAAAAGGATGATCAAGAAAGATCCACTAAGATGCAAATGAAGGTATTGGGCGTGTAGCACATTTAATTGAAATTAGGTTTTCTAAACATTTGCGTTCACAGTTTCTAGAACCGCGACGTAAAAGCGGAAAAAGAAACTCAAATTACACACAAACGTTGCGGCCTTTGTTGACGACTCTTTTAGCGCGCACGTGGAAATTCCTATTTGACACGTTCTCGCATTGCCCTTTGAAGCGAATTATAAGAAACTAAATCGCTCATTTCATAGTTCGCCGACTTCGAGAAAATAACGAGGTAGGTATTTATCGGGGAAGTAAAGTAGGAATGTGACTCTATTTGTCGCGGCTGCTAATTGTAACTTTATGCCTACGTCAAGGTGTTTGTGAAGCGACTTTTTAATAAAAAGGGACGTATTGCACTAATTCAACAAACCTCTGTTACGGTACGTTCCATTACGTTGCTCTACGTTGCGTCTTACGATATGGCACGTATCGTCACGGCGCGTTACGTTATGTAATGCTACGTAAAAGTAACATTACGACGTAAAATAGCGCCGTAAGGCGCAACGTAGCGTTACGTATACATAAGGCTTCTTTGGTTGCCGGTAGATCACCCTGTAGATGCGCTAGTCTCAAAACGAACGCGGTGCCTGCAATCCTTTTTACGTTCGCGCAAAAACTTAATCGCATTCCGACTGTAATTGCGTTACCTTTAAGTGCAGCGACGTTTCCCCTCCACCATTTCGGAATGAGAAAGGCGCCCGTCTCCCATTTCGCCTTATAATCAAGTTACGTTTAAACTCGCACATTAAATAGAGGACGATTTCCGTCTCTATTGTTATCATTTAGATTGCGCGCATCGTGGAAAAATGGCAACTCATGTGCGAGGGTGACTAATTGAGGTTTTAATAAATTTTAATTATAAAAAAGGCCAACACGAAAGTTTAATATTCGCCGGAACGCAAAGTAAAGTTCCGAAAGAGAAGACAATGTAAATGTTTTGCATAGTTAGGTGATTTATTTATATAAAATTATGTTCACACGGACCAACACTGTAAAGCCAAAATATAATTAAAAACCGCCCTTAATAGATTGATTTATTACATTGAGCGCGAATTTCACTATTTATTACTTCGGCATCGATGTTGAGACTGCAACAAACAAAAACTCTCGAATCTTTCATTCCTTATCGCCGGCGACTTGATGGCGCCACGATATCGCTCTACAAAATTCACTTGTGTAGCTTCTTGTACTTTAATCTTCTTAAACACATTAGACCTGTTAACCCGTTCTAATGCTGTTCTTCCTGCCCGTAATTGTTCCTCTCCGCCCTCTTTGTTTCTCTTGTACCTCATGTGCCTTTATGTATCTCCTTTTTATCTTTGGTTTTTCCTAGATCCGGCATCTCTTTGATCTTTTTGCTTTTGTATGTCTTTCCATATTTTCTTTTTCCCTTCTTCTATTCCTGCTTTCAGCTATGGTCCTCTTTCTCCTCTTGCCCATTTTTTCACTTATTTTCATACATTCCTTGTCCTTGGTGTATTTCATGTAATCTATACGCTTGTTTATCTTCCTGGATGTTCTTCTTAGCTTTGCTGTAATTGGGCGCAAGCCTGTCGAGGGCCCAGAACAAGAGATGGATAGTAAATAAAATAAATAAAATAAATAAAATAAATAAAATAAATAAAATAAATAAAATAAATAAAATAAATAAAATAAATAAAATAAATAAAATAAATAAAATAAATAAAATAAATAATATAATCAAAATAAATTAAAAAAATAAATCTTTCTCTGATGGCTCTTATAGTGTGCCTTGCTTCCTCTTGCAGTTTCTGGTTCTGGGATCTTAGATCCCTGGCCTCCTCGCGTTTCTTTGTTTCTCTTATTCTCTTTGCCCCTGTATTAATTTTGTCGTGTCATTGGACCTTCTTGAATCTGTTGTATTCACTTGATCTCATTGCTCCTGGTATTCCTCCTGTTCTCTTTGTATCTCTTGTTACCCTTCTCGTTGTTCATAATGTATTTTCCTCATTTTCCGTTGGCTTTTATTATTCCTCTTGATCTTATTCTTACCTCTTTCTTCATGTATTTTATTGTATCTTCCTCATGTTCTCGTATTTACGGATCAGCGATTGTTTTTATGAGCTCCTTGATTCTTTTAATCATGTTTTTAGATCATGTTTGCTTTTATCTCCTAAGTTTGGGGATTATTCCTGTTCTCCTTGCACCTTAAGCTTCTTTTGTTGCGTTTCTTGATCCTCTTCTGTTTTGTGAATCCCCTCCACCTTCGTGCTATTCCTGTTGTACTTCTTACCCCACTCACTATTTTCCTGAATGTGTTTGTTTCTTTTGATCTTTTTCCGATTGTATTTTAGAGTATTATTCTAGATAAGGGTCTTCTTTTTCTGTTAATATGGTGCTCCAATTTTAATTATTTGTATAATTATTGTTATCGGTATAGGTATTTAAATAATCTCAATCAGAAAGCGTAAAATACAAAGTGATTGGTAGCGCTGGTGTAAAATTTGTATGTATCTCGAAAAAACGTTTCTGGACTCAAAACCTACTGTAGTTGACAGGGTGACCAACGGGATAGTTACAGTATTTACCTACGGAAAATCCCTGAAAGTACCTGTTGATTTCAAAAACCTTCAGCAAGTCTAAAATTTCGTTCGCTGAGCTTAATCCGGGGAGCGCAGAATCTGTTGGAAGAGAAGACCAACCTTTAAACAACTTGCTGGTTATTCCGCCTTCTGTTACGTAATCTGTAACGTTATTTTGTTACCGATTGATATTCCTGATTTCTGTAGTAGATTTCTCACTACTTTAGTTCTTTTGGCTGTTATAGATTTCATGTTACAATAGTTTTTTGTTTAGCCACCCGAGGTCGTGCAGAGTTCTCTTTAATTCTTTTCTGCGACGCACTTGTTTGTACAAAACGATATTCAATGATTACTTATAACGTACACGCCATAGTAGTTAATCGACATTGTTGTATGCCTTTTGGGATTTAGTATGGTTGTATAAGTTTAGTGAGGTTTCTTACTTGTTTTTTCGCTTTTAACACTTCGCTGACGCTGTTGCGGATATATTTTACAAGTTTTAAGGCCGTCTTGGGTATGTAACAAAAATTACGCATTACTTTTGACCTTTAACAATGGTTTTTAGGTTTCTTACTTCTGGCTTACTATCTTCTTCATTATTACCTACCAGGTTGTTCCTTTCTACGTCAATATTCCTGAGTGGAAACCGCAGAATTTTGGATTTTCTAATATTGCGCAAAGAAAATTCATTGGAAAAATTCCATCGCCATCGTACGTCATAGATGAGTTTCTACCTCACCGGCAGATTCCAGTGAAATTATTTCACGAGATACCAACATCACTTGTGAAATTACTTACATGTTCTTGCTGCGCTTCCCGAAACCTACTGTATATAATGGGGTGACCAACGGGATATTTTCAGTATTTACTTACGAAAAACGCGAAAGAAGCATATTTATTAACGAGCGTCCCAGCTCGTTGACGATTTTGGAGTTTCTGCCCGTCCGTCCGTCCGTGTACATCGTAACTAGCGAACGGTTTCGTATTTTCCAATTCTGTTTTCAGTAATGGTTATGGGACAAACTGATTACATTCTGATCCATTGGTCTGCATTGTCTATAATTCTTTGAAATGGTTATTCAAAAACATGATGAATTAGTGATTCGAAATCGATAACCGAAGAGAAATGTTTCCTATCTTTGAATATAGAGAATGCGATCCTTAAAAAACAGTCCCCACTTTTGGAATTAAGACAGTCAACATTAAAAGAGTAAGCAAAGGAAAAGTAAAAGTGCAAAAGGCGATTAGTTCCCCGTTAAACGGTGCATTTCAACCCTAGCGTCATTGTCAAAATTCAAGAAAAGGGAGTCAGAGCATCTGGACTGTAAGCTAAGCTTTCCACTAGAACTGTCCGTCTAATTAAAGTAACAAAAACCCTGACGTACAACACAACAGAAGGGCACCATAAATAACAAACGCTTAATGTATCACACGAAGAGACTGACGCAAATGGCACAGCACCACAAATGCAATCTCCACGCTAGTAAAATTTAAGTAGTTATTTAACTCCATATGTAAATAAAACGTAAAAAAAGGTAACTTTGTTGACAGGAAAAAAACTGCTAGTGGCATAAAGCTTAATCTACTTCTGTACGTTACATTGTAGAGCATTAGCATCCGCATTCGAGAAAATTTAATTTAGTTGTAATTTCTTTTTATTACACACCCTCTGTTTGTCTTTCCGTTTCATAATGCTCTTTTGTATAGCGAACAATGTTAGGGTAACCGCCTTTGTAAAAGAAATTTATTTATAGCGCGCGAGAGACATCGAATGGGGTTCGTTTACTGAGATATTTTTGTTATTAATTGACTAATGGCTGCCAGTGGGCGAAATGCTCTTTTTTTTATAGCGACGTGTATATTACGAGAAAAGAGTCTAATTACTCGAATAATTAGCTCAATTGCAAATTAGAACTGCACGAGGAACAATAACCACAACCATTTAAAGTGATTATGCTTGCAAGCGCTGCGCATTCTCTTTGCTCTTATTCTCTCTTTCATCTGGAACACGCTTGTAACGTCTAGAATAAAATAAAATTCTCGTCAATTGAAAAGGAGCAGTTTATTTTTAGCAAACTGCTAGTTCAATATAATTCTGAGTGTTCATATGTAAATTGTCTGTTCTCCAGGATATTAAAACAAGCATTCTTGGCTATGGACGGCAATTAAATGCACATGTTCGGCTAAAAAGACAGTCGAATCCTACCAGAAACTTAGGATGTCCTACGGGATATTTGCAGAATTTGTTTACCAACCTATACAATATAGGAGATTGATGATCTGATGTTTGGACCATGACTAAAAAGAAAGACAGCCTTGTTTTACGTTTGGGCCTTAAGTGGGCAACTCGACTACTGCCGATTGTGAAGCTTTCGAAGTACACTTTGCTCTTTAGTGGTTACTAGCAAATAATTTATGCAGATACAGATCAGCAAAAAAGGAAGGAACTGGTCGAAAATACTTTTTATCGTGATTCTGCACACGAGACCTACTGCAAGTGACGGGGTGGCCAACGGGATATTTTTAGTATTTACCTACGAAAGAAAATTGAAAAAGTTGTTTAAATGATGGGATGACCAACGGGATGTTTTTTGCATTTACTTACAAAAAAGACATTCATTTACGTCAAGACAAAGAATATGTTTGAAGGGAAAAGGAACCCGAATATCCTGCCTTCTGTTACCAGTGAATAAAAATCCCTGTTTTAACTACACATTTTCATGTACTGCGGTTTAAAACAAATCCCCCAAATTGGTTCAGTCAATGCATCGGCGGGAGTAGCTTTCCTTATCGACGTGACCTCGTTATTGAGCATTTGTGAACCTCACGATGCACTTAATCCTCTTGCCAACAAACGTAACCTAAAGAAAGCAGACGAACGGATTTACCGCGGCGAGAGATATCCCTTTTCCGAAAGAGAACCGAGCGGATTAAATCGACCTCTTCCGAAAATTGACGTCCTTATCGCGCACGTAAATTATAATCCATAAACCGAACGGCGGCGTATAATAAAAATAATAGAATCGCACGATGAACGTGTCGGGTATATCAGGAGAGATGTGACACTGATAATGGTCTGACGTTAGTGAATTTTCCAACGGGAACGCCTGTCAATTTTCCCGAACCCTACTAACGTATATACTAGAACTCGTGTTATCCGGCAAACAAAGAGGCTGATAAACGAGCCGCGTAGATGACATTCCATGTAAACCAAACGTATTTCGGTCTGTTACGATTACGCATTGTGTGGGCGAAAGACAATTTCATCCGGCATACACGAGTGCGGAGTTAAATTAAGCATTGTTTCTGACAGTCGTTAAACTCCAAGTTATAACTTGCCAACCTAATTTTCTAGAAAAAAAATCTAGCGCATCCCATCGTTCGTGCTTCGGACGTATTCCATTTCCGTCATTGGAAATTTGTGCGGAAGTTAACTAATCACGCAAATCCGCGTCACTGTGTTATTTGAATGTCGACAAACTCGTACGGCTCGGCTATGAGAAGAAAGCAAGCTGACTTTCCTCATTTCTCAGCCGTATGAGTTTGACATAACCCGTCCAAATCTCTAATGTAACACGAGATACAATTTGCGCTCCGACGAAACAGCAGGCGATGAAATAGTTCTCGCCCCCAAATTGCAAACCTCGGCTTAATCCAGCGAATCTCGGCCATCGATTCGTTTGATACGCGCCACAGCAAAAACCGGATTGAACCGAATTTAATTATGAATGTGATCCTGTAGCTCGATCGCGTCCATTAGTAGGTTCCAGCGCAAATGAGCACAATTTGCGGGCAACGTTCATTCGAATCGTAGGTGTAACGTGGCAACGAACAAAAGCCGGCCGACAAACGTAAGCGAAATAATTCACCGGTTTACATATTGTTACTGTGCACGATTTGGTGATCTGGCCCGAAAGACCTCATTAGTCGACATAGGCGTACAATTAAACCCCGTCTCAAATTCAGTGGCAAACGCCAAAAGCCCCCCAAAGCTCTAAGGTCGCGAAAACAATGAGATTTACAGCGACGGAATCTCAATTTCTGTCGAAAATAGTATGCGAAAGGCACTTACCTATTGTAGTAATCACAGTAAGGGAATAAAGGAAAGCTCCTGGAAAGCTCCACAGCGTATTAGTTCCTATCGTATCACATCCGTCAAAGCCGTGCTTCACGGCATCAATTATAGCAACCTGATACTCTTCAAGCTCCCTCATAACGCTCGTCCTCCACAGCCTCTCGTTCTCCGGAAAGATATTCGTAAAATTTGTTATGTTCCATATTGTGTCAGCCTTTATGTTGCGCTGTTGCGAAATTGTACGCCGAAGTATATCCTCCTGGTCGCCTTCAATGTGAATAAAAATAAACGCACCGGCGACCGTGTAGCCGACCTGAAAGTAAAAAATTTTAACACGAGAACAAGTTAAGGAAGAGACATACCACTAATCCAATGATCCCGATGTTGCTGAACATGAAAGCGAGAAAATTTCTGATGTAGTCTTTGCATTTTTCCGCCCAACGTTTTCTGTATTTACGCCGTCTTAAAGAAAAATGTCTGTCCATTTTATTGTACCAAACTTAACCATTTCTACTTTTAATTCCATCCCTCGGGATGCGATATGCTCACTTCCTTCGTTACGACCTGTCTCATCGTACCCCGTTATCTGTAATAAATGAGCTTGTATCACTATGGAGCGGCCCTAGCTGTTTTATCTTTACAACTCTGAACAATGCTTAATTCGACTCTCTGAATGTACAATATAGTGATGGTCACGTCTTAATTAGAGACAATTATGACTGTAATTATAAAAATCGCAATCAGATCCAGGTTTGCAAAGAAGCTTTTCTTTTATCGTATTTCTACAATCCAAACCTATGGATACATCAGTGCGACCTACAGGGAATTTGTAGTATTTACCGATAATAAGTTACGTTTGGAACGTGGAAAGATTGACCAATATAAGAAAAGCTAGGTAGCGGATATGGGTAAACTAAGCGAAGGGGATGTAGTTGATATTGTAACGGAAACGCTCCAGACATGACGTCGCCTTTGGCGCTCTGGAATTTTCTAGGCGCGCGATAGTGGAAATGTTTGCACGTATCTGGTAATTACGCGAATGTTCTGAACTTACATTGCTTGCGTGTATAAATGGTTGCGGACCGAACATCGCGGCAGTTTTACTACCGAACGAGATCGAGTACAGATGAAACATCGAGCGCGGAAATATAAATTGCGAAGTGTGTGATATAAATAGTCGATATAAATTGTACAGTTTTTATAGTGTTTAGTTTTGTTTAATAAATATTGATATAAATCGAACCCGAATTTATAAATAACGTTACAATATCTTGGCCGCAATGAAGGCTTGTATTTATTGTATTTAAAGGATAAGAAGAAGATACGGTAAAAAAGATGCACCTCCCTCGCGAATAAGGTGGTGAGATGCGAGATAGATTATTTGCATCCTCCTCTTCAGATAGAGGGAACAGGCTGGCGAGAAGAAAAGAAGATGCCTCACATTGAAAACGTGGGCTAGCAGAGGAAGAAACAGACCAAGAATAATATATTACTGAAATGTAAGGTAGATGATACGCATCCAATTTGGAGCGTGAGGGAGGACTATGCTGAGAAGAACGGAAGGAAGATGTACTGGATACGTGTCAATTTGGCATCAAAAAAATTAACCACGTAGTAAAAAAGGAAAATGATAGACAAAGGATCTTCTTTTTGAAGAAGCAAAACAGAGAATGAGGTTATGACAAGGGGTGAGTAGGACCATGCTAATTCTTTGCTTGCTAATTGTGCTTTTATATACCCCAAGCAATTTGGAAATAAATCCGACTCTTTCGTAACATACTAACAAATGGACATCGGAAGATATGAAGTTATTTGGACGACCACTGGGGTGCTTACCGTACTTGTTAATTAAAAACCTGAATCTCGTTTTCCTTTTTTATGTGCCCATTTCGTGCCACTTGAAACATAAGCAAGCTGTCTCTAATGTGTAATAATGCCCTGTTAGGCTGTTTAGTGACGCCCCATTTCACGGATCATGTACCTAATGGTTCAATTTTTGTTAAAATCATCACACAGAGAGTTGATTACGTATTCCGCTTAGGTAAAATGCACTGTCGTTCATCTTTAAATGCACGCCGATAAAATTGGGTTACAGAAATTCTTGATCAAACTTCCTATTTCGCCGTCTTCTTTTCCTTAAAATAACAGAAGACGTGTGCGCGCAATATCTTGAAAGCGAGGGATGCCTTCATAGAAGGTTTCCGACGTAAACGTCTCGACGACAATTAGATTTCTTTTCACTTTACGTTTATTAGGTTCAATTCTCGCGTCTTATGTCAAAAGTTAAAAGACACAGAGAGAAAATGCTCTCTTAATTAAACGCGCTCGGCTGTAGAGGGCGGAGGGTGTGGGGGAGAGCGCGCGGGTGGGCGTAATCTAGTTATTGAATTGCACTAACGACACCTGCTTTTAACCGATAAGGGAGGAATCGCGAAAGCTCAATTAAAATGCATAATTTAGCCTGAAAGCTTTATATCGTGTCGGCTTAATGTGGATTTAGTGCTCTTTTTTTTGTGGAGGCGGTGGAGAAATTTTATCACCGCCGGCATCCGAAAACAGGTGGCTCAATCCGTAACCTACACCTGTTTATTTGCATTTTTCTCATCTGGAGCTTTTCGTCCGTGAAAAATGCGCCCTCTGCTAATAAATCAACAATAAATTTCCAATCGTAATTTCGGCTTCTCATTTTAGCCGCCGTGAGAAGGAGCCAGACGTTTGAAACTTCAAACTTAAAAAGTAAAGCCTTACATTTTCCAAACTTGGTGATTGAGGTAGGAACTAAGTATATCGAAAAAAGAGCAATTGCTTCACATTCGAGTTTTAAAGCTGAGAGGTATAAATTATAACGTTTCCAAAGAAGAAATTAGCTCTGTCATTGACCAACACCGTTTAGGACTGTGTCACCAGATTAGAGCCTCCTTTCGCTACGGGCCAGTAATGAATTTCCATTTACAAATCCTGAAACAGAGAGCGTTTGATTTCTCCAAAATTGAACTGCTCGAAGGGTAGATCGAGACGCAATATAAATAAGGTAAATAAAAGTAAGAGGTAAATAATAACGATTTTGTCCTTCTTCGTCTTTGCGTAACGACTTATTTGCACTCAAAATTAATTTTTCTTTTAATCCAATGAGTTTTGAAAAGAGTAATGTTACATTTAACTGTCGATTTCCATTTCGCAATCTACTGAAATCTAAAATGTAACCTGATAGGTGAAATATCTCGTAGGTTGACCGAGCCGTTGATGCTAATTCTGCTAGTTCTCTTTCAAATGCCGCAAAATGTGCACATAAATTTACAAGTTACAACAGATTCATGTTCTTAGCATTTTTCGTTAATAAGTACGGTAAGTACCCTAGGGATCGTCAAAATGACTTGATTTGCGAGAAATGCAAATTTTCATATATTTGAAGCTTAAAAGAAGTTTGAAACATGTTTAAAGTATCGACCAAAAGTTTGTGATTTACGTTTTTCGAATTTCGCCCCTCCACATTTTTCTTCCACCATCTCTTATTCAGATAAAAGAAGCGTACAATATTTGTTCTATTTTAATCGTTACATTCCCAACGTTCAGTTTTTGAGATACTTTAGCTTCTTCAATTTCTTGAGGGTCCCCAAATCTTGGGCATCGTTGGAGTTTTTTCAAATCACTCCGAATGCTTCATATTCTGCAGATTATCGACATAAGGTGGGGAGTTTCAAATTCAATTTTTTTCGGGCTCTATAGATTCTTCAATCTTCAGACTCATCGAATCTTTCAAAAAACGTTCATATCTTCAAACGTTATCCCGTTCTTCGGATAATTTGGATTTTCTTCGGATTCGGGCAATTCATTTGCAAAAAAATGCGGATTACTCAATTTCCACCCATCTCTTCTGCAAATTCTTCGATACCTTGGATTTTGCAGATTCTTCATTGAATTTCTTTAGTCCCTTTCAGTCCTTTTACAACCTTCGACTTGAGATCTGCAACTTTGTCCCTAATGGGAGGGAGTAGGAGGGGGGGTTTCTAGTCTATAACTTTTGATTGAAAAGTCTAATCGAAAAAGTACGAATTGTTTTGGATTCTACGCCCCAAAATTAATAAGAAAAAGTGTTTTCCCGAGAAATTTTGGTGCAGTCGATTTTTTGTAAAAAAGGAAGGTTTTCCCCAGAAATTTTGGTGCAGTCGATTTTTGGTAAAATGGAAGGTTATACACTGCCTTTTTTTGAGCCCCGAAAAAAAATTGTCTCAGATCGACCCGGAAAAAAATTTTCTTATAGAATGTGGCCTGTAGAATCCATAATTTCAAACAGTTCCAAGATTGGCCTACTAGTTCAAAAGTTACAGCCCTTTGAATTTTTTTCGAAATTGGTTTCTAGTCTATAACTTTTGAATGAGAAGTCTGATCGAAAAAGTACGAATTGTTTTGGATTCTACGCACCAAAATTAATAAGAAAAAGTGTTTTCCCGAGAAATTTTGGTGCAGTCGATTTTTGGTAAAAAAGGAAGGTTACACTGCCTTTTTTTGACCCCGAAAAAAAAATTGTCTCAGATCGACCCGGAAAAAAATTTTCTTATAGAATGTGGCCTGTAGAATCCATAATTTCAAACAGTTCCAAGATTGGGCTACTAGTTCAAAAGTTACAGCCCTTTGAATTTTTTTTCGAAATTGGTTTCTAGTCTATAACTTTTGAATGAGAAGTCTGATCGAAAAAGTACGAATTGTTTTGGATTCTACGCACCAAAATTAATAAGAAAAAGTGTTTTCCCCAGAAATTTTGGTGCAGTCGATTTTTGGTAAAAAAGGAAGGGTTATACACTGCCTTTTTTTTGCAGCCCCGAAAAATATTGTCTCATCGACCCGCGAAAAAAATTTATCTTATTAGAATGTGGCCTACAGAATCCATTAATTTCAACAAAGGTTCCAAGATTGGGCTACTAGTTCAAAAGTTACAGCCCTTGAATTTTTTTTCGAAATTGGTTTCTAGTCTATAACTTTTGATTGAGAAGTCTGATCGAAAAAGTACGAATTGTTTTGGATTCTACGCGCCAAAATTAATAAGAAAAAGTGTTTTCTCGAGAAATTTTGTTGCAGTCGATTTTTGGTAAAAAAGGAAGGTTATACACTGCCTTTTTTTGAGCCCCGAAAAAAAATTGTCTCAGATCGACCCGGAAAAAAAATTTTCTTATAGAAT